AAGGAAAAAAACTGGTTAAAATTACTTCAAAGAAACTTTTAACCATATTTATCACAGATGTTAGTTCCGGCAGGATGTCTAAAGCAGAATCCTACAGTAGCTTCGGAATATTCAATGCTGAAATGACTGATACATTCAGATCTTATATCATTTTTGGTTTTCGGAGAGGCTCTCTTTTTCAAAGTTAGAATTCAATCTATTGTTGAATAAAAAAGGTGTTATAATGCATTGCAATGGTCTTTTCTGTGAAATTTGACCGCTTGAAGAATTAGAAGGAAATATACAATAAAATTCAAAAAATTTTAAAATATCGACCTGACTATACAATACTTCGTCAAAAGTAGAAGACAATTGATAAACGAAAAAAAAAATGTTTTTTTTTCTGTGAAATTTGACCGCTTGAAGAATGAGAAGGAAATATACAATAAAATTCAAAAAATTTTAAAATATCGACCTGACTATACAATACTTCGTCAAAAGTAGAAGACAATTGATAAACGAAAAAAAAAAATGTTTTTTTTCTGTGAAATTTGACCGCTTGAAGAATGAGAAGGAAATATACAATAAAATTCAAAAAATTTTAAAATATCGACCTGACTATACAATACTTCGTCAAAAGTAGAAGACAATTGATAAACGAAAAAAAAAATGTTTTTTTTCTGTGAAATTTGACCGCTTGAAGAATGAGAAGGAAACATACAATAAAATTCAAAAAATTTTAAAATATCGACCCGACTATACAATACTTCATCAAAAGTAGAAGACAATTGATAAACGAAAAAAAAACTGGTAAAAATTATTCAAAGAAACCTTTAACCATAAAATACTGTAACTTACTTAACCAGAAACTACTGTATAAATTATTTATATTATTCGCCATGTCAGTGCTAAAATGTAAACACTCTAGAGGGACTCAAATATTTTCCATTAAAACATGTATAGCTACTATAGTATCCCAACGGACTGAATATTTCTATATCTGAAATACATTTTAACCGTTATTAACAATTTTAAAGTGAGTAACATTATGGGTTATAGAAACTGTAACGTGTCAACAATTTTAGAAGAATTCCTTAATATTTGCAGTGTTATTTAATATTTGCAGTGTTCTACGGTGTGTGACCGTTATTAACAATTTTAGAGTGAGTAATATTCTGGGTTATAAAAACTGAAAGATGTCAACAATTTTAGAAGTGTTCCTTAATATTTGCAGTGTTCCAGGCATTGTACGGTGTGACTTAAGTTGGTTATGGTCATCTCAATGCTTTCTTTATATTTAAATGTTTAAAGGCCCCTTCTGGTTTAAATGTGAAAAAGAGAGCCACTCCGAAAACCAAAAATGATGTAAGATCTTAAAGTATCAGTCATTTCAGCATTGAATATTCCGAGGCTACTGTAGTATTCTGATTTAGATATTGTGCTGGACCTAACATCGATGGTAATTACGGTTAAGTGGTTCTTCAAAGTAATTTTTACCAGTTTTTTTTTCGTTTATCAATTGTCTTCTACTTTTGATGAAGTATTGTATAGTCGGGTCGATATTTTAAAATTTTTTGAATTTTATTGTATGTTTCCTTCTCATTATTCAAGCGGTCAAATTTCACAGAAAAAACCATTTTTTTTTGTTTATCAATTGTCTTCTACTTTTGATGAAGTATTGTATAGTCGGGTCGATATTTTAAAATTTTTTGAATTTTATTGTATGTTTCCTTCTCAATCTTGAAGCGGTCAAATTTCATAGAAAAAAACATTTTTTTTTCGTTTATCAATTGTCTTCTACTTTTGATGAAGTATTGTATAGTCGGGTCGATATTTTAAAATTTTTTGAATTTTATTGTATGTTTCCTTCTCATTCTTCAAGCGGTCAAATTTCACAGAAAAAACCATTGCAATGCATTATAACCTTTTGTATTCAACAATAGATTGAATTCTAACTTTGAAAAAGAGAGCCTCTCCGAAAACCAAAAATGATATAAGATCTGAATGTATCAGTCATTTCAGCATTGAATATTCCGAAGCTACTGTAGGATTCTGCTTTAGATATCCTGCTGGAACTAACATCTGTGATAAATATGGTTAAAATTTTCTTTGAAGTAATTTTTACCAGTTTTTTTCCTTTTATCAATTGTCCTCTCCTTTTGATGAAGTATTGTGTAATCCGGTCGATATTTTAATATTTTTTGAATTTTTTTATTTATTTCCGTATTATTTTTTAAGCTATCAAATTTTACAGAAAGAGCCATTGCAATGCGTTGTAACACCTGTTGCGTTCAATAATAGACTGAATTCTGAACTTTCATGAGTTTTCTCCTCATTTTCTTGGAGAATATTTTGCTGATATGCACGTTCGGATGCCCTTTGGAACTTCTGATATTAGACATTGTTGACTTCACACGAACTGGATTTGCGAATGATAAATCCACTCCTATCGTTTTGATCCATCCCACCACTATTTCAAATTTGACACTCTATAACGTTATTCTGCCATGGCTTGACCCACTTTATATATAGCAGATTATAATGTTTTATCTTTTATACCCTTTTATCTCTACTGGTTTATTTTTTTTATCCAATAACATATTTATTGTAATATTTGTTGTATAAATATGTATTCAATTAAGATATCAAATAATGTTGTGCCTCATAGATTTTAATATTATCCTTATATATTTGATTGAACATTTATAATGTACAGGGTACTGTTCTGAAACAGTTGAGCAGTACGTACAGGATATTTAATGATCAATAGAAAGAAGTCTACTAGAAAACAGATAAGAATATTAAAAATTGTCACGATATAAACACGGATATATCAAGATAAATCAATCATATTAACCCATAATTTTTTAATAGAATGCCCTGCTTTTTATTGTAATTTCAAAACATACTATCATTTTTTAACATTCCCTATACCTATTTTAAGTAAATTATTTGCAACTGTATGGAATTAAACAATAGCAGAATAAAATTTGACTACAATTAAAAATTTAAAACTTAAACCGTTGTTTAACAATTCTTAATTGTTCAAACTTTTTATGAGACAACTGATTCATTTTGGATTTGGAATTTCAAAGCAAGATAAATTTAAAAAGTCTACTTCAAAGGATTAGCTGTTCTATAATGTATAATAATTATAAAATGGTGTTCTCTTTAAATTAAAGCAGTAATTATACAAAATATATTTCTCGAATTTGTATTAGCATTTACAAGGGGTGATCAAAAATTTACAGACTAATATATAAATATTAAAATACGTTGGACATGTTATGGGAGCAGGCACAGAAAACATGGTAAGACTTATTATCCAAGGAAAGGTAGAAGGGCGAAGATCACGAGGAAGATCCTCAACAAGATGGGTCGACCAAATTACAGGAATATGCTAAGGACCTATGAATGAGCTAAAATGAATGACAAAAGACAGAGAACTTTGGAGGTGGATAATATTGACATCATGATGACCTCTACACAGTTATCCAGCATAATCTCTAAACCAGAATACTACAGTATTTGGAATATTAAATGCTGAAATGACTGATACGTAGTAAGATCTTATATCATTTTTTGTTTTCGGAGTGGCTCTCTTTTTCACATTTAAACAAGAGGGGGCCTTTAAACATTTGAAAATAAAGAAAACAACCAATTAAGATGACTATAACCAACTTAATTCACACCGTAAAATGCCTGGAACACTGCAAATATTAAGGAACATTTCTGAAATAGTTTGACATCTTATAGTTTCTATAACCCAGAATGTTACTCACCTTAAAATTATTATAATGGTCAAAATGTATTCCAGATATAGAAATATTCAGTCCATTAGGAGAATACAGTAGCTATACATGTTTCAATGGAGAATATTTGATTCATTCTATAGTATTTACATTTTTGCACTGACTTGGCGAATAATACAAATAATTTTTACGGTAGTTTCTAATAATCGAATATACATAGCTTTTTTAATGTCTCAGTATACAATTTAGCGTAAATTTGAAGAATAGATCTTATAAAAGAAGATGTATACCAATATTTAAACAAGATTATGCACATAGTTTACTTAAATCAAGCTGACTAGTACTGATTGAGTACGAAAAATTATGTTAATGGAAGGTGATTAAAACGAGCAAAACCAAATCTAATACTGTACTAAAAACGTTTTAGTCTTGGTCGTTTTGTTTTATATTTGAAGTACAAATTATGACATCTAACAGTCCTATGATTTTAAAACATCCTTTATTATGCAGATCAAAAGAGCTCGAATATGAAAATCTTGCAGTATAGGGTTTAACTGTACTGGACCGTAAATTATTACTTTCTTCAATAAAACCAAAATCCCAATATTCTTAAAATCCATTTAAAACGCTGGGAAATATTTTGAAGGTAAAAATAGAATTGTAATTTGCCGATATATAAACAAAATTTCATCACAGTAAAGTAGATATACTAGAGAAAATATTAAACTAGATGATTGAAAATTTAAAGTAAAAAGCAGGGTGGCTAACCTGGATGAAAATAATTAAAAAAATAAAGACTTTTAAAAAGAAACCAATAAAAATTTACCTGGCCACAAAAACGTATATTTCTAGTCATTTTATTGTTTTAAACGAATATTTGTTATAATTTCAACGTAACTACTATATTGAATGAGAATATACCACATATTTAACTAAAAACAGATTATATTTGACGCTTCAAATTAGATTACAAAATACAAATCAAATAAATTTTTTAAATTAAAATTGTAGTTTATTCTTATTGCTTATAGTAGTTCCACAATTCGGAACCATAATTTCAACGTGTCTGCTATATAAAGGATCGTTCATTCTATTTTTAACATTTCATCAAAATTGAAAAATCTATAAATTGATTACGTTTTGGACGGTTAGATGGCATTCACAATTTTTACAAGCACATATTTCCGTTTGTATGCACAAAATATGTAAATTGAGAAGTAAGGATTTCCAAAAATGGTCAATTTATTAAAAATTTAAACGCCATGTTTTGATAGGATGTGTACACGTTTATCTAACAATTATCAACATATTGTATAAACATAAGTGAAACAAAACAAAATTTACAAAAAATTGATATTGTATAGTATTTTCACGTATATGTTCCTTCATCGAATAACATTAAAATATAGCATTTGTCTCGCATATGCAAATATTTTTTACGAAGTTTATAAGAAAAAAGGTAAAAATACTATACCATATCAGTAAACAAACCTACATAACCTGATGTGGTTATTACACCAATTCTGAACCATCATTTAACGTTTTTCAATTAACTATCAAATAATTCAACAAGATGCTAGATGACCCAAATTTACTTGTTAAATAATTAGCTTGCACCGTACAGTACGTACCCGTCTGTTCAGATTATAGAATACTTTACAACTACCAACTACAATGTGTTTTTATAATTCTTTAGGCTCTGTGGGACATTTAGCTTATCTAAATGCGACTTAAATGACTTAAAAACGGACGAATTATCATTACAAATCAGAATTAGGATGTAAAAAAACGTTAAAGATATGGAATAAGTGTTATTTAAATGTTCTTTACTGATGTTAACGAAAGGTTAACATAGGGTTTAAAGACAAGTAGTCATCACATATAAAATAAGTCCCGGGTATGGTGCCACTAACAACAAATATCACTTGTAACTCGTCAAAATTTGAGCTCAATCGGATCATTAGTTTAAAGTTCCAGTGGTTCAAGTGATGCTACTTGAATTTTTCAAACCAACAAAAATTCTGTTGATATAGCGTTACTTCCTGATGGGAAAAGAATATATTTAAAGGAGGAAATTGTTACAAATGAAGAACACAGTGGTCTTTCACCAAGACAATACACCGTGTAGTTGGCTGTAAAGAAGACAAAAATACAGAAAATGCTACTAATGGCTTTTAGCAAACGTGGAGAAATAGACTTTAATTAAATCAAGAAGTCAAGAAATTACGAAAACTGATTCATATTTTGAGGCCGAAGATAAATCTTTCTATAAAAATTATCCGATTGTCAGGTTGGGCCGGGAATCATGGACTGGACTAATAAAAAAAGTAAGCTAATAACTTTCTATCGTCACTTCTGATACAAGCTAATGTTATCAGATCGGTGGTTTTGTTGGTCTAGAGTTTTATATTGATCTATTTCATAAAAGTCATAATCAGTGTCGATATAAGCAATAGGTCCGGCTCGAATGATATGATTCTATAAACAAGATTTAGATATGTTTAAAATCTGAAATATTTGATATTTATCCTTCACTTCTGCTAGACTTAAAGCTGTAGATAAAAACACCGTAAAATGGCATTTTTAAATCCATATAATACAACATTATATAGAAGAGATAATAAATTCCACGACCCAACAGATTAATATGATTAATTGTATGATACGCATTTGTTGAACCAAAAGAATTACTGACAAAATTATGTTGAGTATTGCTATCAAAATATCTAGATTCGAAATCAACAAATAATTATTTGGGTCAACTCGTATTTGGGATAACATTACGTAAAATAATAATTTATGAATACAAACTGAAAGTGAACACAAATATCAACAATAAAATAAGTTAAATGGGTATTTTTATGAATAAATCAATACAGTTATTACTACATGTGTGCATCATATACACACACATACATATTTATCTATTGTAATCTAATAGTATTAGTCTCTTGCATTAATGAATCTGAAAAATACAGATGTTTGTTTCTTTAACTATTGTTATTACACACAAAATTACCGTACTGTTGGTTATCTCGCCACGTATTGTTAGAGTTTATGGAATCATTGCTGTCCATTGATTCTATTGTAATTGCGTTCTTAATGAGGTCGCTGGGAATCCTGAAACAAATGAATAAGTCAATTACTATATTATACTTTTAAAATTCCTGGAAATTGTAGCATGTACAAATTCCTTATAACCATCGAATATTCCTTAGACCATAAAAACTGATAGACGCGCCGTAATGCTATTCTCTCGTCTCGAGGAGTGAAGCCAACATAAAACGATTCACACAGCTGTGGGTGACGTCAGTTTTAGGCAGAAACGGTAGAGAGTAATAGTGTTTATACGCGTTGTAAACGTTTTAAAGTGTTTAAATTTAAAAATTTTCCAATACATTAATATTTAATTATGGTGGTATCTTGCAGTGCATTTAATTGTACGCAGCGACACAAAACAGGGACAGATATATCATTTCACGGGTAAGTAAATTAACAAATTAAACTTGAAAAACATACCAGAAATTTAGCATCTATTATTTTACTTTTTGCTCCCAAAGTGTTTAAAATAGATACATATGAGAGAGAGAGTCTTATATATAATTTTCATTTTATAATTAGATTGAAAACTAAAGTATTAAGTAAATAAATTGTTTTAGATTTCCTAAAGATTCATCATTGCAAAAAAAAATGGATTATAGCGATGCGCCGTGAAAATTTTAAACCAACAAAGAGTTCTAAAATTTGCTCCAAACATTTCACAGCGGATTCGTATATTACTAGCGGTTGGAGTTCAAAAAAACAACTAAAAAAAGATGCTGTACCTAGCATTTTCGATTTTCCAAACCATTTAATTAAGCAAGTTACAACTAGAAAATTTACAAAAAAAAGAGAAACTGTTTCAGTCAAACCAACAGGATCTAAAAGGGAAAATATAAATATAACGAGTGAATCTACCACTATAAAGACTCCAGTAGAAATTTCAGACGAAACTACCTTAGAACCTCCCTTGAAAAAGCGAAGACATTATCTTGGTGACTTTGAACAAGGATCATCTAACAGAGACCAGGGATATAAAGTAGTAGTAAACAAATTAATTCAAAAGAAAAACAAACAAATCAAAATGTTGCAACAACGAAATAGAAGGCTTATTAAAAAAGTAAATACCTTAAAATCTTTATTAGAACATCTTAAAGAAAAACAAATGATCGATGAAGATTCCTCTCTGAAACTTTCGGTAAGGAAAATTAATAATACTTCTTATTAGTGATCTATTTAGCTTTGGCATGTATAACAGTTTATTTTATATTGTTTGTAGTTAGTCGATCAAGTTTTGATTATTGCTTTTTATTTTATTAGGATACGATGCATGCTTCTGCAAAAACTATCTTTAAGCAGCTACTTAAATCTAAGAGCACTAAAACATATCCACCGGAGTTAAAAAGCTTTGCTCTCACTCTTAATTTCTATTCACCAAAAGCTTACTTGTATGTCAGAAAAACTTTTCCTAACATGTTACCTCATCCACGAACTCTTCAAAAGTGGTATCAAGTAGTAGCTTGTGAGCCTGGATTTCAAAAAGAAGCAGTGAATGTATTAAAACAAAAAGTAGTTGAACTTAGAAATAAAGGAAAATCATGTATTTGTGCTTTGATGGTCGATGAAATGTCTATACACCAGAAAATAGAATGGGATGGTGAAAAGTTTTTAGGGTAAGTGTAGCTTAATATTTATTAGCAATTAAAAAAAGTATCATAACAATATATTTTCTATTTAAATAATTGAAAACATTAATTTTAGGTATGTTGACATAGGAAGTAAACCTCAAAGCGATTCTTCCGAAATTAAAGCAAAAGAAGCAATTGTATTCTTAATTAATAGTTTAAATGATTCATGGAAGCTGCCGATAGGCTACTTTTTAATCGCTGGGTTATCAGGTGTTCAAAAAAGTAATCTAATAAAAATGTGCTTAAAAATAATGCACGAAGCTGATGTCACAATTACCAGTCTAACATTTGATGGTGCAGCATCAAATATTAGCATGGTTAAACAACTTGGAGTTGATTTATCGATTAATTCCAATAAAGTATATTTTCTACATCCAGCAACAAATCAACCAATATATGTAATGTTTGACCCTCCACATATGTTGAAACTTATTCGCAATACTTTAGGTTATTACAAAATTTTTTTTGACGGGAATAATAAAGCGATTAAATGGGAATATTTGCAAAAATTAGTAGACATTCAAGAGAAGGAAGGCCTTCATCTTGCAACTAGGATAACGCGAAGGCATTTAAATTGGTATAAGGAAAAAATGAAAGTGAAATTAGCTGCCCAAACGTTCAGCCAAAAAGTTGCTAAGGCAATACATTATTTGAGAAATAAAAGCTCAAAAGAATTTGTACATAGCGAAGCTACTCAAAATTTCATTGAACATATCAATGATATTTTTGATATTTTAAATAGCCGAAATTTATTGGCAAAACACCTAAAATCTAGTTTACAGCATCATAATAAACAAGCGATTTTTCAAAAAACTGAAGAATCTATAAAATATCTTAGTTCACTCAAGTGTTCCAAAAATGGTGAACCCCTATATCTAAGCCAAAGAAAGACGGGTTTTATTGGTATGATCATTAGTTTAAAATCACTAATGGGAATTTGGAAAAAATTACGTGGAGGATATGGATGGAGGTCTAAAGTATCTTTCGGCCTATAAACTTTCTCAAGATCACTTAGAAGTTTTCTTTAGTTCTATTAGGAGTCATGGAGGTTACAACAACAACCCAACGGCAAAACAATTTAAAGCTGCATATAAAAGACTGTTAATGCACACAAGTGTTACAGGATCTACCCAGGCTAATTGTATAGAACAGGCACCTTCCATAATATTAGCAATGAGCACAACAAATACTGTGAAAATGAAAACTGTTGATCATCAACTCATTGACAACTTTATACCCGATGAAAATAATATTGATACAATAACTAGTAACCAGGATCGGGATTATACTGTAAATAATTTAAGTTTTTCAAGAACGTTATCATCTTATGTTTGTGATGTTGTTGACTATATCGCTGGGTTTGTCGTTAAGAAAGTTAAGAAAACATTAGATTGTGACATATGTTTGTGTGCAATTGAATGTGATAATTTACAATCACCATTCATAAGACACAAAAATTATAGCATATCAAAAGATTTTTTAATTCAACCTTCTAAAGACGTCATTCATATTTGCAAAATTGCTGAAAGCGAAATTAAATTTATGTACAATTCAAAAAAATTAAACGATTCCAAAATAATGACAAAATTGATCTTAAATGTCATGAGTAACGTGCATGGTTCTGTGTTTAACGCATACAAAGAACATATGTTTGATCATGAATTTGAAACAAATCATTTGTTTAATCTAATAAAGATAATTTGTTTCCATTATTGCAACATTAGATTGTACCACGAAGGTGAAAAACTAAATAATGTAATAAGAGTTAGAAGTAAGTTAACAAAAGCTATTTTGTTTTGTGGTCAATAAATTAATAGATTTCCTACATATTTTTTTACCTAACCTGAAACTTCCACCCAAAAGAAAATTATTCTCCTTTAAATTTATTTCTGAATATCAAACAAGAAGTGAGATACCAACGATATATATAATAATAAATGTAGGTATGTATTTTCTAATAAAACATTTAATTTTACAATTTAAGGCAAAAATATTTATTAATTACTTTGCTAAATAATTTATCTTCCATATTTTTTACAAAATATTGAAGATATATTAAAATTAATCTAAAATTGGGTAATTATACTAGTGCTTTGCTAAGAATACAAGCGGGCTCTTGCCTAATTGTGACGTCACTTTCGCGGAAGGTCTTTGCTTCAACGGTTCGGTACAAGGCGTGTCTATCAGTTTTTATGGTCTAAGGAATATTCAAAGTATAAAATTTATCTGGTACGCTCCTGGGCCATGTAAAAAATTTCGTGTGTTTTTTGTTTGCATTCCAAATTACAGTTACAACTGCGAAGTTAAATATGATATATTTGGTTTATATTTGTACGTCAAGGTCAGTTACGATACGATGTGAAGCACGTTTGAAAAGAGTTCTGATTTGGCCCGCTGCGAGGACTGATACGAGCGGTGGGACGCGAAAGAGGAAGGCCGAGACAAGAGGTCAGGTCTAAGTGAATTCAAGTTTTAGATTGGGAAGAGATTTTTTTGAGACAATACGCGGCGAGTGTCGACGTTAAGAAGCCGGCAAATTTGTTGAAAAAAGTGAATTATCATATATACAGAGTAATTACTGTTTCTATGTTTCTAAGTATCTAAGAGATTTGAGGCGTTTACAACAACTTTTAAAGATACCACATGTGTTCGAGTTTTTTAGGAAACCGAGTTTCAAAGTTTGCGTCCAGTGCCCAACTTCCAGCCTCATTTTGTTTGTCTTAAGCCATTTCAGACTATCTTTGCAGTTTGTAGATGCATTTGTTTTTGTTTGCAGTGTACGTCCAGTTCCAATCACATAATTTTTTTAAAGAAATAAATGAAACATTTAGTGAAATCCAGGTAATTTTTTTTGTTTCATAATAGGTTGTTAGAGTTGTTCATAAACTAAATTGTAATAATTAGAATTATAAATGTTAGGGTGTGGCTAAGCTGTCATATTAATTCCCAAAGTTTAGAATTTAATATTGACATCTGACAGCTAGTTTTTCATTTGCAATGATTTATTTCTACTAAATATCGCCCAGTAAAAATTGTAAGTTCTCATATTTCCAACTTCTAGAGTTTGTAAACGAATACAACATAGTAAGTGTGTTTTTTGTATTTATTTTTGTAACTATTTATACAGTATTTCTTGTACTACTTATACTGTTTGTGGTGAGATAACAATATTTAATCTCTTTTCTAAACAAATTTATTTATTTCTTTTGAAAAAGTTTTCCCTTTAAAAAAACCCTTGTATTTTTTACGAAAGAAGAGCTTTCTGTCACACAGCAGGAAGATTCTTCTAAGCGGGTCATTATTTTAAATAGCTTGAGAACCTTCTTGTATTTTGTTTGTCCAGGAGATTTATGTGAGTACCCTTTTTTGTTTCATTTTTGTAGTTGCCCCAAT